GTGAGAACACTGAACGAGGGTGGGGAGAATGGGAGAATGAAGGATAATTTTTCACACTCCTCCAGTGCTAATAGTCTCTGCAATAGGTTCCTATGGATTTTCTCATTCAGCTCCCACCAGAGCCTATAGTGTGGGCCGGGCAGCAGTTATTGGAGTTGAGAAGGAGACTGAGTTGCATTAAGTCATCAGGCTATTTAGGGGCCAGCATCAGAGCCAGAATCTTCAGTCCAAGGCTCCCACCACGCCACCATACCAACTCAAATGTGTCTTCTTTTTTGACATTAAGTTGGAACAAACTGACTTAGTTCCAGATGTTTATACCAGTGCATCTGTAGTTTCAAATGGATATATGATATTTTTGTTATTTCATTTGATGGACATTCCCAACAGAGAGAATAGATTCCTGCCCCTACAAAAACAGGAGTATGACCCATTCCTAAATGTGACAGTGGCTTCCTAGTTAAGTGATTCTCTCGGTAAGTAGGGAAACACACAGCCTGGGGATGACTCTGATAGCTCTTATCTACCCTTGAGAAACATCTAAATAGATAGTTTAATCCACTTCATTTGTGCTGTGAAGAAGGATGTCTCTCTTTAGCTGGTTATCTGAGAAAAATGCCATCTAAGACACTTGTGTGGTTGTAGGGAGAAAATACCCATACATTGCTTTTCTAAATATTCTTCTGCGTGTAAAATGATATTACTGTTAACAGTGCCTTTATAGACAGGAATGGACGTTGCCGTGATAAACAGCAAAGCGTTGTGTAGTAGCTAGAAATGGCTATAGGCAAAGACAGGTACTGACACTAGTAGCTAAGTTGTCAGTTCCAAAGATGAGTACACAACCATACAATTCTAATTGGTGGACTCCTGCAGAAGCTTTTATAACCAATGGGAAATATATTTTTCATAAAGAAAGAAGAGCTAATATTTAGTATGTGAGCCAAAATAAAGAACTTAAAACCATTTACATGGAGTTGTCTAGCTAGCACTTAGAAAAATGGCCTTGAGATTTGAGAATCAGCTTTCATTCTTAGTGAGGTGTGTGGAAGAAGACACATAATAAATGTATAAAGAAAAAGAATAATTTCAGACAATAATGTGGACCTGAAGGAAATAAAAGGGAGTAATGGTATAGTGGTAAGGCCGGGGTGGACTGCTTCAGCTAGGGTGAGCAGGGCGGGCCCATCTGAGAAGATATGTGAGAAGAGGCTTCACTAAGAAGTCAGTCATATGAGGATCTGGGATTGTACAGCTCCAAACAGAAGGGACAGTCGGAACAAAGGCCCCAAGTCATGAACAGTAGGTAGATTTAGAGATAGAGCTAAGTGGAAGTATAGAATCTCAACCTTCTAGATTTTTAATGTTTCCAGTGCCACCATAATCCTTAGAGTGCTTATTGAAATTATCTTACAATAAATTAGTTATGTTTGAAATTATACATGTGTGTAATTTAATTAAAGTATTTATTTCCAAATTTCTAGATCACTTATGCTTTCCCTTTCAGTATATAGCATTCCATTAGAATTTCTCCAAAAATAGCAACATGTTGAAGAACAGTGATTTTAGCAGTTCTTGTTAATTATAAGTGACTCATAATTTTAACATAGTCTTCTGTTGGACTTGAAATCTGCTTAGGGGCATACTGACTCCAGAAATGTTTTTCACTGATTTATCCAGACTTTGAAGTTGGTTGTTTCCTAGAACCCACCTCCTAGAAGTGGTGATCACTGCTGCTTCTGATGAGATTTAGTGCTTATGTATATTTTAAGAGTCCTCATTCTTTTTGCTTTATGTTTATATATCTATTATAGTTTACTGCCAAGGAACTCTGCCCTTCTTTTTGTTTTTTTGTTTGTTTTTGATTTTGGTTTTGGGAACATTTGGACTATAGACCATATTTAGAAAACCTTTACAGGCCGGGCGCGGTGGCTCAAGCCTGTAATCCCAGCACTTTGGGAGGCAGAGGCGGGTGGATCACGAGGTCAAGAGATCGAGACCATCCTGGTCAACACGGTGAAACCCCATCTCTACTAAAACTACAAAAAATTAGCTGGGCATGGTGGTGCGTGCCTGTAATCCCAGCTACTCAGGAGGTTGAGGCAGGAGAATTGCCTGAACCCAGGAGGAGGAGGTTGCGGTGAGCTGAGATCGCGCCATTGCACTCCAGCCTGGGTAA